TAATTCAGGTTGTAAGCGGGTATCCAAGTTGTCAAAGGGTGTCTGTCTTTTAAACACTTTGCCACTTGGTGTATGTAATATGTCAACTGCTATGAAGCTAATTATTGGTTTTCCAAGTTGTTGTAGTTTGGAAAGGTTATGATTTCCTACTTGTTCATTTGTGGAGAAAATGTGAATTATATCACTTGGACAAGCCGAAGTATGTAAACGACTTTTCAAGAGATTTTCAACATCTTGATTCATTGGATCATCACGATCCTTTGTTAGAATTTTGTTTAAAGCTTCTGCAAAAGGTAAATCCTCTTTTTGTCTCATTATCTTCTGTAATTTGTGCACTTTAAACAAAGTCCATAGATCTTGTGGAAGAGCTCCTGGGTCAACACAGAGAAGACTTTTGCCAAACACAGGTGGTATCTGATAAAAATCCCCAACACATAGAACAGATATGCCTCCAAAAGGTTTTGAATTCTGCTGCAGGGATTTGATTTGGTTCAGTCTTCCTGAAATATATGACAAAACTGTTTTGCTGACCATCGATATTTCATCAATAATAAGTAGCTGAATGTTTGAAAGCCTTGCTCGCAGAGTATTTAAATCATTTTCACCAAGAGGTTGATACTGTGTTTTCATGTTCTTCTTCAGTGCAAAGGCTGAATGAATAGTCTGACCATTGATGTTCATAGCTGCTTTGCCAGTGTAAGCAACTTTAAGAATAATGACATCATCTGGTGTTTCACGTATCTTGTGAAATAATTTGTTTGCCATGTGGTAAATGCAGTGAATGAGCAACGACTTTCCAGCGCCTGCTCCCCCAGTCAGAAATATATGAAAATTGTCATGAGAGTTTGAGTGTAACACCTGCAAGCACCACTTCTTCACAAAATTGAACAGTTGCATTTGTTCTGTATTCAGCGATCTGTACATCTGCAAAAGCTTTTCATCAGTTATGATATTTGGATCTGACTCAATGTACACATTGTGTGAGTTTGAAGTTTTGTTTGTCTGTGGCGTAGATTTCATTTCGGGAATGTCTACTGCTGAAAGAAACTCTTCATCATCAAACAATTCCTTTTCTTCTTCATTTTCGATTCTTTCTTGTTCTGAGTTGGGCGCCACTTGAGCCCATGCTTCTTCCAGTGGAGGCATGTCTTTCATCATGGACCAAGTCTCATCAAGCTGATCAGTTAGTTTCTGGAATTGTTTCATATTTTCCTTAACAACATCACAAACTGGATTTGATCCTAATTTTCCTGTTTCATAGTAATGTTGAAATGAGCTAAAGTCTGATGGAAGGAATCTGTTTTCTCTGTGTGGACAATATAATCTCAAGAGATTGAAAAAATATTTCTCAGGGTCTTTGGACTGTGAAAACTTTGGATATCTAATGACTGCATCCTTTTTAGTCCTTCTTGTAATTGTACCCATGTTGTGTAGTAGCTGTAATTTTTTCCCAGTCTCTGTCTTTGATTCTTCCTCTAGATCTGCCTCTTCAGTATGAGTGGAGTTTGCTATCACTCTGTACCTTGATACAAAAGTTGCTAAACACATATTGGCAAATTCATTTGTCAATGGTCTTGCTAGATATCTATCTATGATGTTTGTCATCCATACATTGTCATCACCACGAGATGCATTGGATTTTATCACATGCATGGGAAGTGTTATTCTGGTATTTTCTGTATCAGTTGGAATCCATACCACGTCTCGAGAACAATGTTTCAGTTTCAGACCACAAACTCTGTAGACTGCTTCCATTACACTTATCTCCCGGTGGGTCAGATATACATTTCCAAGTTTTCTAAGCTCTTGTATTGCCTCTTCATTATTTTGCCTTGCCTCTCTTTGAGCAGCTTTAATAAGCTCCCCCAGTTCTCTTTCTGCCTTGGTAATATAGGACATTATGTACATTATACAGCTGTATGGATCTAGGATAAACTGTATATCCATATTACCATTCCATGTGCGAAGAAGTGCAGGATTATAAGGATTTACCCAACAATCTCTGGGTTTTCTTCTGTGAACCACTGTAGGTCTTTGTGACAATACATTCAGTGCCTCTTGTAAGATCTCTTGGGTAATGTTTCCATGCCTCAAAATGTCTGCTGTGCAGAACTCTGAATCAGTGGTAAGTAATTCCCAAAAATTTTTCAGAATGTCTTTTGCGTTTTTTTTTTTGACATTTTCTTTGAATTATTTGATTGTTTTGGTTCTATCTCTTCGTCTATGGGTGGACTGGCAATAAATGTTTGCACTGAGCATGGGCGGGGAAAATTGAAACGACAATCTTTTCCTCCTTTTTTGCATGTTTTGGTATGTGCTTTACTATGTTGTTGTACAGAGGAAACTATATCAAATAATTCTTTATCTTCTTCCTCATTTGGTATTTCACTAGAAATGTACTTGTCGATAAAAGCTGTCACTTCAATATTAGAGGATTTCTGCCATTCAGGGGCATTTTCAATCCAAACTAGACCATGATAATGTGGCCAACCTCGTGCTTGAAACTCAATTCTCCCAAAGATGTCAGTTACCTTCCCAATAGGACTGGACGGACTCATAATGACTTGATTGATAAAATCATGAAGCCTTTTATCAAACATCCGTGTAGCAGTTACAATGTTGCTATTTATTATGTTGTAGTACTGTTGCCAGTTAGGGTCTTCTGGAATGTCAATGCCTTGCTGAAGACAAATTGCTTCAATGATTTCTTTCCATCTTCTTTCTGCTGCAGAAAAAGTTATGAAGAATGTAGGTATGCCAAGCTGTTTAAGCATGGCAAAAAGATCTCGCATGGTTTTTTCCCAGTATGCTGGAGAACCTCGAACTGCCTGCAAAAAGCGATAACATTCATCTTTTTTAAGCATCTTTTTCATTTTGGAAGAATCCAAGAAGGAAGATGAAGTCAAGTGGCTGAAATCAACTGTCTTTCGCATTGCAATAGACACTGAAGAAAAGATTTCCTCAAGTTCTGATGTATACTGTGCAAAAAAGATATATTCTGGATCACTAGCAAACCTATTGTCACTTGAAAACAATCTACTGTTGAAATACCGTTTCATTGATATTTTTGTATTGCGTTTGTCTGTGTAGGTTTTTTTCCCATTAGGAAAATGAATCGGAAATGCCTGTCCTTCGGTATGGATGACTTTTGTTGGTGTGTTTCCTTCTGCTGGAGCAATACAAAATATGGAGTGCGGATTTTGATCAGCAAAATACTGTGTTAAGTCTGATGGTTGAAGAGATGTATCAAGTAGTGGTGCACAATCTTGAGATTCTTCTGTCGATTCACTTTCTTCCTCTGTATCACGATCTGTTGAAATCAGAAATGCATAATTTAACTGTTTATTTCTGATGGAGAGACATAGTGTATACATGCATTTTAAAATTACAGCTCAATAGTTCTTACCATCACAATCTGCATTAATATTGCTTTCACTGTGGTCATTATTTCTGGATTTCTCCTTTACTGGTTCAGTCTCTCCCACTTTACAAGAACCTGTTTTTTAAAAATTATTTTAGTTTAGTTATATCATTATATTTTTTCATATGTATCCATTCATATTACGTTAAAAATGTAAACATTATGTATCTGTAACAATATTTTTAAAGTGAATTATTTGAACAATGTATTTATTATATTTTTTAAAAGTATAAATTATTCTTGTGAAACTATGGGCAAGTGTTTTCAAGAATTTATACAAATATATTATTTAACACATTAATTTTAAACACTTAAAACTTTTTTATGAGAAATATTTTATATATTTAACATTACTTTTTGAGAAAAAAAATTTTTTTTTAAAGCACTCGAACTTACTTTCTACAGCAGAGTTTTTTTCACTATCATCAAGATATAATTCTCCACTTTCAAAGATATCTTCTTTAATTTCTATATCTGAGGAAAAAAAAAACATTTGTTAGTTTTTCATCATATTAGAAACAAGAAATATTTCATACTTTATGAGCTGATAAAAATGACTAACCTGCAAAGTGTGGATTTCTTTTCTTTAGAAAATCAAGTGCTTTGAAGATTCTGTTAGGACATACTTCTTGGTAGAGATGATGTCCTTTAAAACACAGCTTGCGCTTCAATTTCACCTTGATGAACGATTCATCTGAAATGTTTCTAGGCAAAGTTGTCGTAACTTTCCTAATATCTGAGTGCACTGAAATTACTGGTCCATGAATACCTTTTTGTGTATGTTTTGGCAAATTAACTATTTTCATAAAAGGAATTACTGGAGATACCAGGTGTCTTTCCAGTTTATTAAGTTCACTTAATTCGGCTCTAACAGTACTTAAATCCATATTGTTGGCTAATGCCTGTGCTGGAATTTTGCCATTTTTCATGGTCTTGTCACATAAAACACAAATATGTTCCATATTGGTTGATGAAAGACTGTTCAATAAAGTAGATATCTGTGGTTTTTTGTACTTCTTCTTGACAAATTTTTGAACCTGGGAACGAAACATAATCCGTCCACATACAATACAGGGATATATCGGGTATTCTTTGCACAATGTTCTAAATTTCTGAAGTGCTGAATCACCATCAGTTAATGATTTAGATTTCTTTCTGTGATAGCTTTGTAAATTATGCTCTCTCTTCCTTTTTCTTGTTTCTGGTATCTCATATTTTTGTTTTACATATTCTTTTTGTTTTTGTGCCTTTTCTGGAATCTTGTAGTTTTCCCTGATACTCCGTTTCTTTTTCCCTGCAATTTCTGGAATACTGTATTTTTCCTTCATACTCTGTTTCTTTTCTCCTGCAATCTCTGGAATACTGTACTTTTCCTTCATACTCTGTTTCTTTTTTCCTGCAATCTCTGGAATACTGTACTTTTCCTTCATACTCTGTTTCTTTTTTCCTGCAATCTCTGGAATACTGTACTTTTCCTTCATACTCTGTTTCTTTTTTCCTGCAATCTCTGGAATACTGTACTTTTCCTTCATACTCTGTTTCTTTTTCCCTGCAATTTCTGGAATACTGTATTTTTCCTTCATACTCTGTTTCTTTTCTCCTGCAATTTCTGGAATACTGTACTTTTCCTTCATACTCTGTCTCTTTTTTCCTGCAATCTCTGGAATACTGTACTTTTCCTTCATACTCTGTTTCTTTTCTCCTGCAATCTCTGGAATACTGTACTTTTCCTTCATACTCTGTTTCTTTTTTCCTGCAATCTCTGGAATACTGTACTTTTCCTTCATACTCTGTTTCTTTTTTCCTGCAATCTCTGGAATACTGTACTTTTCCTTCATACTCTGTTTCTTTTTTCCCGCAATCTCTGGAATACTGTATTTTTCCTTCATACTCTGTTTCTTTTTTTTTGCATTCTCTGGAATACAGTATTTTTCTCTCATATACTGTTTTTTTCTTTTGGCATTTTCTTCATCTTGATACCGATTTCTTTCATACTGTTTTTTCTTTTCTTTATTTTGTTGGTACCAAGTTTTCATTTGTTGCTTTCTTAGAAGTCTTTTCTGCTCGAATTGCTGTTGTTGCGAAAGATAGTTACACAACCAGTCTGGCTTTTTGGCCTAAAGATAAAATTTTATTATGAATCTGTATACTTCTCTAATAATTATATTTTTTACATGTACAACGTAAAATCAAGAGTCTGGTAAGTTTTACCTCAAAACTTGAGTTTTTATCTTGTTCTGCTGCAGTTGTTTGTGAATCAGAATTCTGTGTGTATTGATCTGGTTGGAGAAAAAATGCCATATAAAGAAAATATTTCATTTATAGAATGATTTACTGATGCTTAATCTTAAATCTCTTTGTACTAAAGAAATTGAAAAAAAAATGAAGACATAGTTTGTTTTTTCATGAAAATAAAGCAATCATTTACGATTACCTGCATTTTTGGTTAAATTTTCTGTGCGAACTTTCCTTTTCCTATCCTTGTCTTTCTTTCTTTTCTTTCTCCCACTCATGATACATCAGCAAAACTTAGAGTAGCCTGAAAAGAAATTTATTTTTGAAAACTAATGTATGACATACTTATATGCATCTAGTAAACAGGATTTCTTTAAATGACACAAATTGACTACATATTGATTATTAATATGTATTCTCAGAATGAAATGAAATTTCTAAGAAATTAAGACATACATGTATAACAAGCAAGCTATTAATGTTTAAATAGCACATGATAAGAAATTAAAGAATATGTATAAACAGTGAAATAAAGATCCAATATTTTAAAGGTATCTCCTACATGTATTAATATACACAGCACTAAAAGTTAATTTCTGTCATGACAATAGAAAAATCAAAATATTTGAGAAATTTCGACCAATATTTTCCAAAATACAATATAACAAGGTATTTCCTAAAGAAAAAAAATCAAGTGATCATTCAGCAAACAAAATCTTCTCTGCATCCTCTGCACGTGAGGTAAAGAAAACGTCTGTAAAAATAATCAGGTTAGAAGTTAACAACTGTTGTTGTATATGTTTTTATATATCTTTGGATGATCCAGGTTCCGATTTTGGAGAAGACACTGTTGATACACCACTGCATTCTTGCGAAGAAAGGAAGAAATCATCTTCTTCTAGATTTTTGATCTTCTTCTTTAAGTTTTCAACTTCTTTTTTCATTTGCAAATTTTCTTTTAAAAGTTTAGAATTTTCATTTTCATTCAACTTTATGATTGTTTTCACTTTTCCGTCCATGGCTTTTAATTTTCTTCTTATCTTTTCTACAGCCTTAATAGCTTGTCCATTGTTCTTATTCGAAATGTCATAGCACACTGCTTTCAACTCGGTGTCTACTTCCTCAGTGAACTCAGTTACAAAACTGTCCAATCTCTGCATTTTTGAAGGTGAAGCCATACTGATCTAAACAGAATCATAATTAAAATTTCTTAAAAAGAAAAGAAAAATAAAAGAACCAAAACAATTAATGGTTTCTTTCCGAGCTGAATGATCTGAAACAACCCATGGCAATGGAACACCATTAATTTGTTGGCTACAAATGAGAGCTAAAAATCAAGATTAGTAAACTTTTTTTGCAATGCATTTAATTTAAAAATCAGTAATCTTTTTCTTCTTTCCTGTAAATTAAACAGAGAAATCTGCAACATTTCAAATGTTCTGCATGACTCCTGTGCACAAGTTCTCTATAACTCTTGTGCATGTGTATCTAGAGTAATGAAAACATAATGAATTCATGAGGTTGGACACTGTATTGAATGTTTAAGAGAATTTCAGTATTCAAAAAATATAGTATAGACATAAGCTGAATCAAAATTTTATGCTATTTTTATCAAAGGCAACTGAGCAGCATATAAGACCTAATTTCTGGGATGGTGCAAATCAATGTCCTTGACATATATTCAGCAAAAACCTGCTTAAAAATATGATATATAAACCTTTGTATCAAACAGAGTTCTGAACTTTAATGGAGTACACACACACACACACATGTATATATATATATATTTAATATATTTTAAAAAATGACAGGTTATCCAATTTCAGAAAATGTAGGAATAACAGAAAGTACTATGGTTTCATCAATATCTATTGAATACCAATTTTATAGATTACATTGTGGAGCATAATAATAAAATATAAACCATCAGATATAATTTAATTTTTTAGATATGATATATTAAGATGTCAACTATCATTTGGCAAACAAAAATTTCATACATTTTAGTTTTAGAATTTGATCATTTTGTATATCTTTATATGGAGCTCTTCTTCTAAAGGAGATCAATATAGTCTGAAAATGGCCACAACCACCCAGCCCTCTTAATGTTCATCTTAGGAAGCAATATGAAAACGATTTGTACTGAAAGAGTCCTTGTCCATGAATTTATGTGTCGTCCAAACTGTGTGTTTCAGAAAGTCCACAAAAACTTAAGCCGGTGGAAATTAATGAAACCACAGTAATTAGTTAATTAGTAAACAAAACATGCATTGAAGTACATCACATAAAAAGCATGATCTTTTAGCCAGGCTCATTGCTATATAAAATAGGTAAGTAATATTGAAGTTATGATGGTTTATCGTTTAAAATGAGATAAGTTTTGTGATGAAGTGAAGTTACACAAAAAATGTGCTGCAAGAGAGCATAACAATACTGATAGTGACAGAGAAGCTCACTACAATTACTATAGTAATTTAAACGGCTACAATAGCAAGGGGTCTGTTACTAGTGCCACCACGAAGAGGATCCTCATTATACATTTGTAGCCAGACATGTATATCAAAGACAGATCATGCAAAGTGAAATCTAATAGAGTACATTACAAAAGTTGAAATAAGATGTGTTTTTGGTAATTATTCGTTAACCAATAGTCCATGTCAGAAATATATTTCCAGACTGTAAATTCCTTGCTAGTTAATTATTAAATTTTTTTTATCTAAAATCTTATTTAAACCTTGTCCAAAAATTAACCATTAGATATCACTACTCTAAGCAAAGTTTGAATCATATGTAATGATGCAAACTTTGCTTGGCACCAAATGGATGTATTAGATATATGATAGTAAAACATATATGAGACTGAATTTGATACTCACCTGCGTAATTCATAAAAGTTTTCTTCAAAGTATTTTCTTTCCAATGATCTTATGGTTTTTGTACTAATTTCTTCTTCAGGCCCGTAGGAAATGCAACGACATAGGAACACCCTAATTTGTAGTCTGCTGCCATTTAAAAATTTTGTTAACGTGGCTCTATGTCAAACAATTCAAAAGTAATGAGTTGGACCATTTTTAAAATTAGACCTTAGACAGTGAATTTGGGTCAAGGTCAAATTTATTTATGCAGTGCATCTCCGTCTGACGTCACCTTCCTATGTTCCAAGTTTGATGTTCTTATCTCAAAGGGTGTTTCAGTTGGGGCTCAGACAAAATTTGGATGAAGAAAAGAAGAATACGAAAATCTACAAAAACAATATGTGTTCCCTTGGAAGTGGAGACATAATAATTATTGGGTCAAGGTAAAAAAATCTTGGTAGGGTTCAGCTAGGTTATATACCAAGATTTTTCTCTATTTGACATTGAAAAAAGAAAGGGGTCAAGGTCAAAATTTTGGTGCATTGCATCTTGTATCAAAAAGAAAGGGGTCAAGGTCAAAATTTAAGTGCTTTGCATCTTGTATCAATGTCTTCTTTCTATGTTACAAGTTTGAAGTCCTAATATCAAAGGGATCTCAAGTTATGGCCTAGACTCTATTTTGAAGTAAAAAAAATGACCTTGACCTTATAAATAGGTCAAGGTCAAATATTTTGGTGGCGTGCACTCCTTCTCACTGTCATCTACTTATGATCCTGCATGTTCCAAGTTTGAAGTCTTAATGTCAAAGGGTTCTCCAGTTATGGTCAAACCATGTTTTTTTTCTCTATTTGACCTTGAAGGAAGAAAGGGGTCAAGGTCAAAATTCTGATGCAGTGCATCTTGTATCAATGTCTTCCTTCTAAGTTACAAGTTTGAAGTCCTAATATCAAAGGCATCTCAAGTTATGGCCTGGACTCTATTTTGAAGTAAAAGAGTGACCTTGACCTTATAAATAGGTCAAGGTCAAAAATTTTGGTGGCGTGCACTCCTTCTCACTGTCATCTATCTATGGTCCAAGTTTGAAGTCTTAATGTCAAAAGGTGTTTAAGTTACGGCCCGGACAAAATTTGGATGAAGAAGAAGAAGAAGAAGAAGAAAATCGACAAAAACAATAGAAGGGGAGACATAAATATAAAGATGACTTTCAACTTACTGCAGAAGAGATGACAAGGGAAGAAATTTCCCCAACTGCAACACAGGTATCATTAGAATAATTGAGTCACTGTTTCTTAACTAAGGTAATTCATGCATTTTCTATTAAACATGTTCCATTTGAATGTGATTATATACTTAAATTGTTTATTTTACCAGGGTACTAAGTCTTTAGTAATGGAAAAAGCAATGTTAGTTTCTACTGTAATGCTTTGGGAAACACTAAGGCACTGAATCAATACAGTATACAAATATAATCACATAGATTTTCTTTTTTTTTAGTTTTTCCTGTTTTATAGTTGATTCTCGTCAAGTAAATTGAAGCCTTATAAAAATAAATCTTGAAGTGACTCAGCTATGTTAAGGAAGGTATGAGTTCACATTTGTTGTGCACCGAATTACCGGTAAGTATCATTTTGTCGTCACTAAAAATTTGACAAGTGAAAAAATAAACTTTACCACATAATAATGCATAAATAACAACTTGCATACATTTATTTTATCAATTACTTATTAAAGCATGTAAGATCTCACCATTTAACGTAGGTCGCGGGTTTGCAGGCCATTTAAAAGTAACCGAAAACATACCATGAAAATAAGTTATATGAATTCTATACCTTCGTTTTACATTCTCTAAAATTTTTAAAATTCGTCCGCACCGTTTTTGTGTAATTAAATCTTAAACATGCCATTGTTGTCGTAACATTTTTGACGGTATTCTATTGAATTATAGAAGAAAAACGTCGTTTTCGGCTCTTTTTGACGCAAGATTTTGTTTAAAAATATATCAGTAACTTTTAAATGGTGCAGACGAAATTGTTTCCCCTTTGGTATTTTAACGAAGAATTGATAATTGCTTTTATATCGCAAAATGTAACATTTTTAAGAACGACGTCATAAAATATCGCGACGTCTTGCTTGACGTCGTGAATATCTATCGGGTATTCAGTGCAGAAAAATAAGATAAAATAATTTTTATGAAAAAGAAATTCACGTCTGTCTGCTTTCAAGTGACCCGTGAATCGTATCATAATAATTCATATTAATGAAATGATTATTATACACGTTTCTCTTCAGGTTAGGTTTTTTGTACGTCTTATATTAGTGAATTCTCGCAAGGGACGTAAAATAACAGAAGATCCTTACATTTGTCTGTGTATTTTTCTTTTCCAGCGTGCTGGAAGAAAACGGTATCCTCTTATCTAAGTAATTCAAGTAACTATATAAAATGTTTTTATTTAGACCAGCAATGCCTTCAAATCTACGAATTTCTGCCAAATATCGTAAATATAGTAAACTATAGTTAACTCTAGTAAATTTTTGTTAGGGTAGGAGCAGACAGGTTTATTTAACAGAATAAATGCATTTTCACTATATTATCATTAGATCCCCACCCTTACACCAGAACATCTGACTTTGGGGCAATGAAACTCAAAATTCTGGAAGAGTCACTCATGTTCATCATAACTATACAAAATTCTATAACCAGGAGCAGAAAAGAATATTTTCAAAGAAATTATGCTTTTCACTACATAAAAGATAGAACCCCCTCCCAAACCCTGGAGCCATGAATTGCACAATGTAGGAAAAAGAATCCTTGTGCATCATAACCATGCACTTCGTTTGTTTACATAATACCCAGGAGCAGAAAAGATTTTAAAAAGATTAATGCATTTTAACTATATAATCAATAGAGTCTCGCCCTAACACCAGAACCCCTTGACTCTGGGGCCATGAAATACAAAATTTTAGAAAAGGCATCAATGCTTACCATAACCATGCATTTAGTTTGATTCAATAATACCCAGGAGCAGGGAAGAAGATTTTCAAAGAAATAATGCATTTTCACTATTTAATCAATAAAGTCCCGCCCTAACACCTGAACCCTTGACCCAGGGACCATGACAATCACAATCTTAGAAAAGGCATCAATGGTTATCATAACCATGCACTTGGTTTGTTGAAATAATACCCAGGGGCAGAGAAGATTTTTATATTGATGCATTTTCACTATGTGTATTTCAAAATTTACAGCCTGACGATTAACCATCCCCCTCCCGTCGCAGCGAGTTGAGTGAAAGTCTCTGAATCCGGACCGTCTTCCTATGGTTGTAAGACATGCAGCTTGCGATTTCCATCTCGAAGGGAACTTTATTTTCATAGGAACCTAACACACGAACAAACCGGACACGATGAAAATTCTGTTCACTCAGTGGAGGATGAAAAGTTTAAGGATGTTTTCAAAGCCAGCTCTAAGTTTACTTTTGAGAAGACCCGAGAAGATGGAGTCCAATAAACATTCAATAATCTCTTAAAAAGTAACATTTCAGTTGTGGATATTATTCAACAAGTGGAAAGTATTTTTAATCTAAAAATGAGAACTTTTAAAATTCAGTTCTCGCTTATATTTATTTTGAGGCATGTGGAGACTATCGATATTATATCCCGGCCAGGAATAACACTCTTCTCCTGCGACTTTTCCTACAGCATCAAGACATTGAAAGCGAAATGAGAACTGTGTCTCCAAGACTTGATGACAAATAATAGGGAAAACACAAAGTGGAAACTATTCTACATGATAAACCTGCAGATTGTGATTTTCAAAATATCGGTGCTGGGGGAATCGTATTACCAGAGTACATAATCTCTAACAAAAACATTTGCGCTTTATTGAGGAACAGACCGCGACAACCTGTGTGCTTTCCGCTGTATACTATGCATTTAAATGGGCGCGATCAGTTAGAAAATGCTACCGCTATTTATTTCCAGAAGTACATGAAGTTCCTCTTGTACAACAGTCCAGGGCTACGAGGAAATTGACCTTGAAGACCTGCATCTTTTTTAACAATGTTTTGAAATCAATGTAAATATTTTCCAGCTACAGGAAGATAAAAGTGTCCTTTCGATCCGGAGAAGCCCGGTCACTTCGAATCTACTATGAACCTTAATTTATTCGGAAATCATCTTTCTTACCTCAGGAACAATAACGCATACAGCAGACGTTATCAGTGAACAATTTTATCCCACTGCTTGGCGTTGAACGATACTCTCTCCCAGTACGACTGGTCTCAAAATATCGTATATGTTTGTACAAGTTGCCTTCATGTCTCTGTGCGGAAACGTGACAATCATTTACTTCAGTCGTATTCTTGCTTTTTGGCTTAACTCGCTCAATATCTTTTTCCTCTTCATGAGGTCTCTTCGATGACACTATTAGAAAATCGTCCATTTCTTAATGTGCTGTATGTTATTACATGTTACTACAGCTGTTTATATACATATTCTGAATAACATTCTCCACTCCCTCCTTTTTTTACAACCATTCATTTGCTGGGCTATATTACATCGGTAGCATTTACTCCTCCTACTATTCTATTACCTATTTATTTCTGAGGGCTTTATCTGACCTTTTTCTGATTTGCCAGGGGGCTATATCTCAACCAATCATCTTTTAGGGCTATATCTAACTCTCTTCCCCTTTACTTACCATCGTCTGGGGCTATATCTGCCCAACCAATCATCGTCTAGGGCTATATCTGTGACCCTTCCCCCTCTTGGGTCTCTTTGACAGGAGGGTTATACAGCCTCACCAATCAGCGTCTGGGGCTATATCTGTGACTCCTCTCCTCCATTGCTTGACAGCTTGGTTTATACCGACCCCTATGCAGCAAACGGAGCTCGTGCCCTGTTTACAAAACAGTTTACGTTCCAACGGATGTATTCAATTTGTTTTAATCTTAATATGTGAATAAATAGTGCATACATTTTCAGACTGAATATTTCTAACTCTACGATGTTTCCTTCAATTATTTCTGAATTCGGATGACTTCTCATGCAAATCTTCCAAAGTCCAGGCTTTCTGATCCACTCAGGTCCACATTAAGGTTTTGCCAAAGGCCAAGATGTCCAAAAATTTATTTTTACAATAGCTCCAAAACTATGTGAGGTATAACGTTAAAACTTTTACAGTTTATAAATATATCATTGTTTAACAGATAGAAAGTATCACTTGAAAACAAATATTTAAAAAAAAAAAAAATTTGAGAAAAAAAAATCAAAAAATTCGCATATTTAAAAAAAAAATGCACCTCCTTAATTCTGTACTTTGAGTGAAAACCATCATTGCAGAAATTATATATGGTTATCAATGAAGGGCAAGTTGGACGTGAATGGTCTCTGAAAGGCTGTCATTGAAAGCATGACATGTATAAAGACAAGACCCCTATAAAATCCGCCATTTGCAATGTACTTTCGGTTTCAAATCTTAACATTTGGACAAAATAAACAGGGAAAACAACTTTTCAGAGGCTATCGAAGTCCAACTTGCCCTTCATTGATAAACTTATATTGTTTCTGCAATGATGGCTTTCACTAAAAGTACGGAATTAATTAGGTGTATTTTCTAAAAATATATGCATTTTTTTAAAAAGAATTTTTCTCGATAAATGTTTTTTAAAAGTTTTTGTAATCAAGTGATACTTTCTATCTGTTCATCAATGATATATTTATTTACTGTAAAAGTTTTAACTTTATAAATCACATAGTTTTGGAGCTATTGTAAAAATAAATTTTTGGACATGTTGACCTTTGGTAAAACCTTAACCCTTACTGAATAGACTGACTTTGACCGGATTTACTATTTAGTGAAATTACCATTTTTGAACATAATTGACTTCTGCTATTGATTGAGTGTATGTCGAAATACAGTTATAGCATAAATTAGTCCTACATCATCTCGCAGGATGATGGCATGATAATAATATTACTTGTAGATGAAAAATAAATAATGATGATTATAGAGTTGTACAGGGTTCGACACTAACTTTTTTACCTTGGTGGACCGCAGGTCCACTAGTCAAAAATTATTGGTGGACCTTCTTAAATTCTGGTGGACCTTCATAAATGTTTGAATTAATGAATGAATAAGAATTCATTACACAAGGCTTGAAACTAACTTATGTACTCAGTCCAGTCAGACTTATAAAGTATAAGTTAACCAGTCAACAGAATCAAATCAATTAGGAGTTTTCAGCAATATTGTTAATCATATTTTCAATAATTAAAAAAAGAACACAATTTATATCTTCAAACAATAGTAAAAGCCTGCATTTATTTCGCTTCCAACGGTAGATAAAAGTTGAATCCTAATTGTTCATATAAACAGGTGAATATAAACAAGTGAATTTTTCATGTATCTATGGCTAATTTTTTTTTTTTTTAACTACGATGCAAAACAAAAGTATATGTATTTATTTATTATTTATATGTATTCATTTATTATTGTTTTTAATTATTATTCATTCAAATAAACTGCGATCATATGATTCTTTTATGTGATATTATGTATAGCAGAAAAAAAACAGGAACTGCAGATACATATAATGTATTCATAAAATATAAATCACGCCTGTTTGAAGATCTAACAAGAATAGATATGGGTTACCCCATATCCAAGATATTCGACTTTTAATTATTCGAATTTTCATTGTGCTCAGATGATTTCTAATAAAAAAAACAAGTATTTAATAACAAAACGTCAGAGATACTCAAGCTGTAGAAAGATAACTACAAAAGTGCCATAAATATCCTGAAATGAATATTTAGGCTATTGAGTTTTAACATCTTTTGTTGAATTAAATATGCATGTACATGTACTAGGAAACAGACTGCATGTACATGTATATAACGTTATATGCATATAATGACTTTATCACAAAGTTTCACATGCCTAAAAATAGTTTTAATTTTACATAGAACATAAACTAAATATAATTAATCGTTTAATTTAAAAAATGTATTTAACACCTCACTCATTTTCAGGAATATTTAATCCAAATAGCATGTTACCATGGTTACAGGCCTGTAGCAACGCTTTCAAAGTGAAAGGGGGGGGGGGGCTCCGAAAAAAAAAATCCCGCGTACTATGAGCCTATGCTACATGTGTATCATTTAACTTTCTAATAATATAATCTTTATAAACAAAAATTCAAAACAAGTCCAAGCCGTTATGGATTATCAAATATAGCGCTTTTTTTTAAATAGCAAAACTATAGATCTATCAAGGATAGATTTTAATTTATTTTTTAATTTTGTGCTATTAAAGTAATTTCACTCAAAGTATAGACAGATGTTAAAGATGAATCAACCTGTCACCTTTTCGAGTATGAACTCGTCCAGAGATGCATTGACAGCCGTTGTGAAACGCAAAGGAAAGCGCGAGATCGGTTGCGGCTGTGGAGCATCACTGAATATTCCTTCGTCATAGAATAGAATCCGATATTTAACACTTAATGTAGATTTTGAATATGCAGACGTTTTAAAGATAAACTTTATTTTTGTTTCTAGAAATGTTTATTTATAAAAATAGTATAATTTCGTGTTTTTAAACTGAGTATTTCGATGACTTAGCATCGTTTTAGATAACTCAGCCCCTCTAGCTCAGTCTAGGGCTTGAGTAAAAAACCTGCACTTGTTACGAAACTGGTGTATAGTTCTAAACTTCATGTCCGTAGCAAATACTGATAACCAGTCTACATGATCTAAGCGTCACTAGCGAACGGTGCACACACCTGTCCTTGCAAGACCAAATAGCCTAGGTCTACACACAACGCTCGGAAAATCACGTTGCTGTGCCGATCGAGAAGTTACGATTGCAGGTGTTTAACCATAATAACCATTCCGTTATTTATAAAAAGAGAAGAGAAAAAAAAACCCCACACACACAGTTAATGATTAACATTCTCACTCAAAAGAAAATATACGGCAATTAACGAACAATAATCATGACAGTAATATAATTGGTGAAAAGATTTATCATTATCAATCGAAGTATGACCTATATATTTTCGTGAAAAAGACTGAGGAGGCAGCGAGCGTAGGAATATGAAAACTTTTTATTTGCTTTTCTGGGGAAAAAGTGATTTTCTGAAAATCTTTTTACGTTAATTTTGTTTTCTTTAACGTATTAAATCTACATCATTATTCTTAACATTTGTTGTAATGTTGTATCTACTGATCATGAATGGAACTATTTTCTTCGGAGCAATTGTGTGAAGAGTACCTGACTTTAGTAATATATCTTGAATAGATAATATGCACTGATCGAATATATTAAAAAATAAACAATGCATAAATGCAGCTGTCAATCAATTCTAATTATCTCCAAACCTGGCCATCAGTGTGCGTTCAGGCGTGAAGTGATTGCCTGTTAGCCAGTGTACATTTTCACACCTTTCTGTGCATTAAACAAACAAAGGACAGACTGACTAATTTGGCACGAATTTTACATGCTACTTTTTCAAGGTCCGTGTTAAATGTTCTTGCGTCTCAGTGTTATTGTTATTCTACAAGTTTGTAACATGTTTGGATGAATTAATCGTTTGATTAACGGATGTCGATTTTTAGGGGGAAAAAAGGAATTTTACCGTGTTTTTTAATACAGTGTTTAAATTTTAAGTGGACCGACGGTCCACCTAGTCCAGAACATTTGGTGGACCTTCCAATTTTTTGGTGGACTCGGGCCGCCGGTCCACCGTTAGTGTCGAACCCTGTTGTACACAAACACACATATTCATACATATATACATATACATGATGATTATAGAGTTGTACACACACACACATATTCATACATATACATTAATTTTAAAACCAGAAGAAAATAGAAGTACAAGTTTATTTAATATTGTGTGAATATTAATATATATACATTCCCATTGCTGTCTAAAGGGGAAATCACATACATTCACTCAGTCCTTGGGTTCCCCTTCAGCAGCACTACTAGAGGGAGAGAAACCGTCTAGCAGCGGGAATTATTTAATTTTTTCTTATAAAAATAAATTAATTTAATACATAGAGATTACATGAACAGATTTTTTTTTAGTTTTATAAACTTACATCTATATACTATAACAAATTAGAGTAATTTTATAAACTTTCCAATAATATCTACATTTAGAGCATAATTACAAAACTTAATTACTTTACACCAAAATACTGTAGATTTTTTTATATGATGTACAACATTATATTCAGTTTCGTCAAGATTTTCTATTCTACAAAACATTTTGTATTTATATATTTTTAATGCAAGAAAGGAAATAAAATTGTTCAGAAAGTATGTTTTCTGGTAACGTTCAAAATAAAAACCGATAACAATGTCATTCCATTGAATGTTAACTTTAATCACAGTTGAAGCTATATCCCATATATATTTAACATTTCTACATTCAAAAATAAGATGGTGCATGTCTTCTACAACAGAACAAAGAGAACACTTGTCTGTGGTATCCTTTTTCTACTTTACCATATATTTTTTACAACAAATTGTGCAATAATTTGTAATTGAATTCCGCAATGTTTTTATCTATTGCCAGTTTAATCTTTTGCTGATAAATAGATTTCCACATTTTTTGACTAACACTGAACATTTCTCCAAGTATTCGCTGATGTTTTGGTGGAATAACTTTTTTACTTAGAAGGATATCATAGAAAAATTTACATTTCTTGCTTTCAGCCCTAC